CCCCCCCCCCCCCCTCCTCAGCCCCTTCAGCCCCGACCCCTCGCCTCTCTCCTCCCTTCGCCAACCCTAGGCCACCCTCCGCTAAAAGCCGCTCAGCTGATCTGTCTACTCTACGCAGCCGTTGACCTTATGCGTCAGCTGTCTTCAACACGGCTGCCGGTTCGTGCGCCAGAAAAATCGTGGGGGAATTTCTGGAATTTTTCGTATTTTTAGATTAGTTTCCCTCGAGTTTGTATGAACCGACAAGTGTGATATGGCTTGAATTTGATTTTTTCTAAAAGTTTTTGATCATTATACATTTTGTCATTATAGATTGCAGGGAAAAGCGGGGTGAGCTTTTATAGACTATATTGGCAACGCCGACTTTATTGTGATGCAACGCCCCAGTCCTCGGATGCACGGTGCTGGCACACGTGCTGACAGTATTGATTGTCCGAAAACGCGTAACTGCATTGCAGGTTGCGAACGTTTGCGTTTCCATTTATTTTTTAAACAAAAAAGCAACATGTAAAAGTTAAAGGATGTATATTTTATTTGTTGTTTCACTCTACCAAGACGATAGCCGGTCCCATATTTAAATCTGACGAAAAATTGAAAATGAAAGTGCTTCACGGGATTTGTTAGAGGGTATAAACTTAGGGGTAAAATACATAGAAACGAATCGAAAAATTTTACATACGCCCATTCAGGTCTCGCCATGACCGGATTTACGTACTTGCCGCCCGTATGCCGACAAGATTTTGCCGTCCCCACCACTTTGAAGGAGAAGATGGGGGGGGGGGAGGTGCCTTATGCAGATTTTCAGCCTTTCGTATCACTTACTTTTCAGTCGACACATATTAGTCATAATTGGACTAGATTTTGCAATTTGGAACTATAAATTCCGGCCCAGTTTAAAAACGACGTATGTGCCATTAGTTTCCCTATGCCCATAAGTGTTTTTTCAGATGAACCAGAATTCATAGGTCTAAATTGCAAAATGCAGTCCAATTTTCCATATAATGCTTATGGTACCGCCACGCCGGAGAGGCGGTGCGGCAATGTCGATGCTCTATCTTCGTTTTTACCTTTCCAAATTTTGTGAAGCCCCCAAAATTTTCTGCCCCAGGCCGTGGCCTCGACGACCTATGTAAAAATCTGGCCATGGGCCTTGTGAAGGGAAAAAAATGAGTGATCGCGGGAAGAGGTGTATACAATTTAGAGGACAAGCATGGAAATCTCTCTAGACTTTTCACAATTTAACTACCGAATGGCTCACTATGCCCCAGAAGGCCAATTTCCCGGCAACGTACTGATATTACTATTACCTGGTCGATGCGTGCGTTATCGACGGCAAAATTGAACCAGAAGCGAAGGCGAGGATTGCAAGTGTCAGGCCGGATGAACAAATCATACTCGTATTCATTTATCAGGTCCACACGCCCCAGGTTACCTGCGAAAAAAACCTGACTATTATAGCGTGAGCTTCGTGTGAATTTGTACATCTATCTCGCTCAAAATTTCAAAAATATCTATGTATGTTATACTTATACGTCATATATAATAGGCCTGTTTTAAATCGTAGACTATATACTAGTGTGATTAATTAATTAATCACTTTAATATTTGAAAGCTCTGCCCTGGTAAAAATTGGCAGTAGAATCTGTGTTCCAAAATAACATAGACCTACAGCCGACTGTAAGATTTCCAATAGCTTCTATAGCCGGCAACACAATTTCTTATAGCCTTTTTTAGCCGATGGCGATTAACAGCCTGACAAAAAAGTGTATGCTATCCGGTACTACTTACGGATGCTAGGACTTAGTGAGTTTTTGGACTATCGCTCTCTTTCTGGGCCGTAGTATCTTGATTTATTTTGCAAGGGAAGCTCCGTACTTTTGAAGGATGCCTGTCATTCCTAATATGTTGGAGCGCCTTCAATGTCGTACGATACTGCGCAATTTCTGGTGTGAAATATTTGCTTCAAGCGCCGTGGTACGCTGCGGCGCGGCGCAGCGCGGCGGACGGGCAGCCAGCGCGAGACGCGCATTGGCGCCTACAAACCTAACAGGGATACTTCACGCATTGCGCAGTGCGTGAAGTATCCCTGTTAGGTTTGTAGGCGCCAGTGCGCCGCCGCTCCGCTTTGTGTTAGGCTCCTAATATTTAATTTCGTGGATTCAGCGGTGTTCAACTCATGACTTTGAAATGTTCGCACACTCTTTATGGATTATTCTCATTTTAATTGATGAAAACAAATATGTGGTAAAGGAAAATATAATGTGCGTTTTGTAAATATTATGGTGATTCCGTACAAACTTGCGGATTTACAAAGCACACGAATTTCTACACAATTTCTTATAGCCTTTTATAGCCGATGGCGAAAAAGCAACAGCCAGGCGTTAAAGTGTAAAGCCCGGCGATAGGAACTATAGCCCAGCTCTATAGTTTTTTATCGCCTCGTGTAGCCCGGCCGTATGATTTTTTCCCTTTTCTACAGCCAGCTTTATGATTTTCTATCGCCTTCTTCACTCTCTCTTATAACTCCGTTTACACGAAAATTTGAGGTTCCAAAAGTGGTTTCATTGGCTTTCTTGTTAAATTTGCTCCAAGAAGCACCCCTCAAAATTTAAAATGTGACGCGAAATAAACATCAAAAGTTGCCGTTTTAGTTAAAAATTTCATGTCCGACCTCACTGATTGACTCGATCCACTGTGCGCCGCCAGAATCAGCGTTCCTAACCTAAAAATTTCGTGGGAGTATTTTCAGTACTTCTCTGGAGAACAAATATTCTCCTCTGAGCAAATCGCCAATATTCATATGCTCATCTTTGTGACGTCATCGTTGTATCACTGAGACACCGTAATTGACGTTTCGTGACATCAATTCGAATATGGGTGCAAGATTAGATTCTAGGAATCGAGGATACCAAGGACGAAACTCCAGCCGTAAATAAACTGGGGCATACGTTTCCTGGTGAAGATTTTGGATCTTATTGAACAGTGAAGTTTTTTCAGTTCACGTAACCGAAATTTGGCTCCTATTCCCGAGAACTTCAATAACCTAAATCGAAAAACTTTGGTGTTCAATATGAATATCGAATAGACCACTTGACAAGGTGAGAATTCATGCACTAGATTTTTTCGCATCAAAATTCCACGTAGAAACAGAGGCGAGGCGTGAATGATCAATTATCGATATTTCCCCATTTGAGCTGTGGTAAAGAAACGATTATTAGGGTGTTCGCTGCGAACACCCTTATAATCGATTCTTTTCCATAAATTTAAATGGTAGATCAATCGATACATCGCAAAGCACGCTACGCCACTGCGTAGACACAATGTTTGTTTGTAGGTACAACGAAAATTACTGAAACTAACTCCTTACAAAGATATTTTAACGCTTTCAATTAATCAATTTAAACTTCCCGCTCAAAACAACTGTAGCCTTCTTTTTCATTTTTTTCATACTAAACGTTGCCGTGATCGTCTGGGGTGTGCAAATCAGACAATCTCAATATCGACGCTTAGGCTCAGCTATTGCAGATTGTTTACACTGTGGACAGCACAGTGTGGTAAGGGAATGCCGCCCGATTCAGAAGCCGGCTGAATTAGTGGCGTGGCGTGAATTGCGATAAATCGATTGTTATGCCATTTAAACCTATGGTAAAGAATCGATTATTAAGGTGTTCGCTGCGAACACCCTGTTAATCGATCCTTTTCCATAGGTTTAAATGGCATAACAATCGATAAATCGCANACAGGAACTATAGCCCGGCTGTTTAATTTTTTATCGCTTCGTGTAGCCTGGCCGTATGATTTTTTCCACTTTCTACAGCCAGCTATATGATTTTCTATCGCCTTCTTCAGTCGGCTATAAGATCTCCTATGGTATTTTGAAACGCAGCTCCTATTGCCAATTTTTACCAGGGTGAGATTTAGAACGGGTCTATTAAAAAGTATTTTACTGTTTTTGTCGTATTATAATTCTTGGCACTTAGCCGATTCAAATCGTTGATTATGTCAACCTACGAATACTGCACTGATTGTGAGTTGGTTGCGGCGCCTTGCATGATGCAACTATTCGTGTTCCATGGATATGCGTGTTGCGTGTTCAAAATTGCAGGCACTTTCGCTTTTCTCGCCTCTTCGGAGATACTTCTAATAGAGAATTAAAAAATGAAATGTTGTTGTTTATGTTTGAATATTTCTAATAGAAATTTCTATTGATCGGTTCGTTTACTCGAATAACGAGTTTGTAGGAAAACTCGTAAATTTATATTAAAACCTCGTGAAATGAATTGAAAAAAATTGATTTTAACTTGATTCATGTAACCTGTAAATTTGTCTAAATTGTATTGATTTTTATCTCGATATTTGTAAGTTTCGTTAAAACTCTCGACAAATATTCGCCATAGATTGGTCAAAGGAGAATATTCTTTGATTAGCGAATGGATTGCAGTTAAAATTGATAAGCGGCCTCGTTGGCATACTTTTTAAACCTTAGACCGATCAGTCCAGGAGATTTCTGCTTCGTCCACGGACTGGACAAAAACATCGGCCAGTTCGCGAGCTGGGCAATGGGGATGGCTAATCTACGGACGGGCCAAAAAATTTTCCCAGCCTGCGGACCGGGGAATTTGACCGACGGGGCATAACACTTGCTTAGAATTCTAGACCGTGGCATAAGAAACTAATACAGCAGCACAAGGCTCGCCAACTCGTGAATAGTGTCTCAATGTACCTTTTTTTAAGCAAGGTCTTAAATTCGAAATCAATTTACTGCAAACACATGCAATTTTACCTGTTTCAAAGGAGGCATCGAAACAAAGATGACCTCTTTTAGCCTTCCCACTGTGACCTGGAGGTCGCATGACCACCCGAGTGACGTTTCCGAGGCCGCTTTCATTTTCACTATCTTCGCTATCTATGAAATATAAAATAGGAGGAACAGCATAAGATGAAATGGACCGCGTTAAACAGAAAGGAACCAAGCCACATCAGCTATTGCCAAAGTTAACCGGACAATTTAGTTTTTGACGAGAGGACGTTTGTGTGGATTCCTTTGAAATTTTTAAGGAATTTGCTTCGTACTAAGGAGAAAATCCACTGAATTTTGCACAAAAATCCACACAACCTTTTTCATGTAAAAATTTAAACTGCCCGGTTAAATTTGGCAATAGCTGATGTGGCTTGGTTCCTTTCTGTTTAACGCGGTCCAAATAGACTCAATTTGTTGCGTTCAATATCGCAAAAATTATGAGAAGCGTCGAGTAGGTACTGCTCTACCCGTCCAACGAAAATTTCGGAAATATATGATGATGACAAGAATATTTGTTACCTCAAGAAAGCAAAAGTACTCACGAGATGTCATTGAACCTTTTTTTTTAAAAAAAAAAAAAGAAAGACAATTTAAAGAGGAGTCATAAAAACTGAGTGTGTGTCTCTGCAATTTTCGTTTCATATTTCATACCTCTGTTGTAAGAGTTCAGCCGATATCAGCCCTCGGAATACTGTATAATCCTTCACAAGGGGTGGAATTAGGAAATGTTTGTGGGGGCTCAGAGAGGCATATTATCAATAAATTAAAGGAGGCTGAGGATGGCACTAATAGACCACGGACCGAGGGGATCTGTAGGACTTTCCCAGCTCTAAAAGGGGGCAGTGGATTTCACTATCTTCAGGGAGTCTGAGGCCTCCCCGGGAAAATGTTGACAAATTGAGTCGTCTCAGGAGCAATTTCGATTCTCGCCGAAAAATTGTTCCAATCACAATTATGAAGATGAAAGATATGTCACATACTTTCCTAGCAAAATACCTCACATTTTTTTGGAGGGGCTCAGTAGATTTTCGAGGGAACAAGGCCCCCCCCCCACGTTCTAGATCCACCCATGTTTCTCACCCTTATTTGAATTCCTCATTCAGGGTAAACACTTGTTAGCTAAAAACGCAAGAATATAAAGGGGGGTATATTTAGCACCGTCGCGAAGATTTCTTCTCTATTTTCAAATTCTATTTTACAACATAATAATATTGCTACATCAATGCAATTTTTAGGTGAAAAGCTCAGCCCGGTTAAAAATAACACAATCTCTTATAGGATTGTGTTCCATCGAAAGCTTTCACGATCCTCCAGTCCCCTGTACTGACAAAAAGCAAGAATCCCACAGTGATAACATTTAAATTCTTCACTGATGGTTTGATGAGCTTTGGCTTGTCAGATATTTCTAACCACATGATGTAAACAGGCTACTGATTGCGGGTGATCAGAGCTCGAATCCCGATTAACTGATAAAAATAACGGGAGGCGAACATCAACGCCTACGCCTGTATAACTCACTCTGCTGAATTTTAGGGGAGAAGGGGGCAATTGTCCCTCTCCTAGATCAAAAAGATAAAAAAGGAGATGGTAGAGGAAAGGAAGAGACTTAAAAAAAAATTAATTATTAGTTATTAGGTATTAGATATTTGTTAGTTGGCAGAGGAGACCAATTTTGGAGAATAGCCTGTCAAAACTTCCAGCAACGACAACGCTGGTTCCTCTTCCAAAAAAATCGCGATGTTTCTAGAAGAACCCAACACAGAAGCGGATAAAAGACAAACCCAGCCATGGCTGTGATGACCATCGGCTTCCAGATTCATATTTATGGCCAAATGGCTCACTGCGAGGATCTAATGATAAGCCTAATTTTTTTTTTTTCTCTTGTTATATACGAATAAACCTCCAACTGTAAAAAACGCTATAGAGTTACCAGCATTCCAAAGCTGATCAGATACTTTGGGCCTAGGTTGGGGCCGATTTTGGCCTCTAATGACTACCCCTCCTTTCTTGGAAAAATTTATTTCGGCAATAACTGGTCCGAAACGGCAACAAGGGGCCGACAGGCACCGCGCTGTCTGCCAAATCAGAAAGATGACCACCAACCGCCGCCACTCCCGCCAGCTCCTCCGGTGATAAACCCGATAGCCCGATGCAGGTGAAGCGTGCGAAGGCGTTATCACGATGATCACGATATCAGGTGAATCCTTAACCTTGAACCGCAAGTGACCGATCCGGACGCCTGTTGCAGACCGCCTGTCGCCACACTCTCGTGTCTTCGCGCCGCGATCACGTTCGACTTTGTGCTTCGTCCCTTTTTCCGACACCTTCGTCCGTACTTTTCTTTATTTTATTGTAATTATTAAGTTTGTGACATTCATCCGCCAAGATGACGAACTTCGAGTATGTCTCCCCGCCTGCTGACGTTGAGAAGGTAAAATTTTGATATTTCTACCCCTTATTTTTCACGCTTCAATTGCTTGGAACATGCCTTTGTTGTATGCCTAAGTTGGTTTTTTGTTTCTCTTGCATAACCCTTGCTTCAATTAAAGTGTTCATTCGAATTGGTATACATGCAAATTTTATATTTTCCGCTAAAATATTCGAATTAAAATATATAAAAAAGCCCGTTTTTAGGAGGCCTAGGTCGAAAGTCCACCATATAGGCTTCGTTGAACTTTATGTTTTAAAGTTTGCCCTCTTATGTTTTAATTGTACTGTAAACAAATGTAGGATTTTTTACCTCAATACAGGCTATTTAAAGCCTTTGCAGAATAATCTCCGCTGTTTTTGTGAAATTTTTCCGATAGTGCCTCATGCTAATTATGTTCAGAGGCACGAACAGATAACACAAATGTGGAAGTTGGCCCAGTGAGTACAACAACCAGAGACATTCACACGTGTTTTAAGTACTTGGACTCGACGAACGTCTTCGTATTAATATTTTCTTAAAATGAAATGACGTATCTATTTGTGGTTTCACGAGGAAGAAATTTTCACTGTCTTAAATGTAGAAATCCCCTATGAAGTAGCTCAGCCTATTCCTCTATTTGACCTCAGCCTAGGGTAAACTTAATAGGTCTCCCACAGAAAAAGCTGAATTGCCCCAAAAATTTGAAATGTATCAAAGTTTTCTATGGAGCTTTAATGTGTGCAAAGCGTGACTAGAGCAGTATATTCGTATGCATGAGGAAATTTTTGTTGTTAGTATTATTTTCAACTTTCTTTGAATTGATTTTTTCCCCTAGTAAAAATTAATGTGATATGGAATATTTTTGTTTGAAAAAATCGCTCTCAAAATAGTTTAAAAACTTAAGAAGTTACGATGGAATTCCCGTCAATTGTGGCTTCGTATGTGTGCGATATTCGAACCATTAAGTCACTAAAGCCTATCGCCTCCATAAAAATTTAACCCAGTCTTGGGTAAAGGTTTACATACGCTGCAACTGCTTGTCACATTTTGACGCGCATTTAAGATGTTTATTTCTAAGATGTTTTATCGCATCCGTGGGTGTCGATCCGATAAATAAAAAGTATAATTTTGGACTGAATTCCCCCGAAGAAAGGAAAAAACACGTTTGAACCTCACTCGTACGCGAGTTTCATCATTTCCTCGAGGGAAGGTTTCGAGGGTAGGCACTAAAAGATACTCCACGAAAAAAAGTTCCAAAAAGTTTGTCTCATTCTCGTAGGCACTGCTAAAGGGTCCAAAGGGGGGGGGTCCCAAAAAGCCAGAAGGCCCCACCGTCCCCAAAAGTTGTGAGTGTTAACAGCCGCTCGATAGCGGTAGACCCTATAGAGGAGAAAATGGGTCTTTCCCCGCATCCTTATAACAATTTTCTAGGTGTGTTCTTGTCCGCTCTGCAGAATTTGGTCAAATTTCGATGTGTTTTTGGTGCTAAACTAGGCAAGGGGTATTTTCTAAATGTATAATTTTCCTTCACTCCTTTCCTCTGCATGATACTTTGAGAGGAGTAACTCAAAAGTAACTGACTCCAGACCTATACAGATCTGAAGAGAGTCCACCTGCACCGTCTTATCAATACTATTCTGCTCCCCTAATAAAGACAAAAATCACGGGTCAATTGACTCGTAAATCGAGTCAAATGTCCTTCTCACCAAAGGGCAATCAAAGTAATTTAGTGTCAACAATCCTTTTAGGTGCAGCAAGAGTCATTTAGAGTATATTGGAGTATAATGACATGAAATATAGTCGAACTCGACTCGTAAATAGAATCTATGCTAACTCGGTCGCATCTTCAACTTTGACATGGAAAAACAATTTTAATACTTTAACAAAGTAGCCAAGTAATCGCGGAGAACAGGCTCTCCCCAATAAATTGGAGGACTTTTTTATATGCATCCAAATCGAAAAAATCGCACGAGAAAAACCGGACCAATCAGCGCAAAACCTCGACGGATAGGAATACCTCTTTTTTACAGAGCGCTAACCAATTTAGGTCACATCTGTTAGAAGGGCATTTATTGCATTATATTTTTCACGGTTCAAAACTCCTCATCCATTCGTCGCGAGGGCGAATATTTATTCAATACTATTTAGAGGATTAATTAAAAAGTGCAGCTAGGGTGCGCGTCAGAAAAAGAAAAACGGTGCGTGCAATCGACACATCGCATGTTGCCATGACGTGAATCGCAGGGTTCTCAAATTGTGCATCAAAATTCGCGTATCCCTCGCAGAACTTAACAGAATATTGCAGGGAGCTCTACGCAATTTCGGCAAAATTCGTAAATGATGTAGCCGGTTTTAATGTTGCAATCCGCGAATCTGAACGTTTGGATACGAGAAATTCGGATGAATCTTTACGAATTGGCAACCCTGCTTTTGTTGCGATCGGGGTGAGAGGGCGAATCACCCTTCGTCCCTTCTCCCGGCGGTGCCCACGTCGCGTGGTCAGTCGTTATGCTAATTTCAATACAGCGTAAGTGCCGAGTCGTTCGCAGATTCATTTTTTTATGCAACTTTGGGTCGAGTATCGGGGACTTTTTACGTTATTTTGACAACCTCTTACTGGGTGCAATAATATTTTTCTAAGTATGGGTCTCTGACTCTCGGGTCAGCCCGTGGTGGATATTGGTTGAGTGAGGTTTCACGTGGGGATACAAAGCGCTTTTGCTGTCTGTTAACACGGTAAGAGATTTATTTTGCCATAGTTTTATTGCTGTTACCTTGTTTTTTGCAAACTTGGCAATTTGCCACAATTTGAATAGCCAATAATTGGATCGCATTCAGCAAAAAGGAACCAGCGCGAGCACAGTGTTTCCAACACCGCGCAGCGTCTTCTTTCCTTTTAAAAATACTCAATATATGTACAATATTAAAATGTACACAATTATCCTCATTTAAATTTATTAATTTTTTGTTGGGAAGCAAAAACTATTTGCTATTCTGGGAATTTTTTTTGAAAAATATGACGAAGCAACATTTTTACATCACAGTAATTGTGCTGGTTCACTGGAAAAAATGTCGCTTGGGTCTGGAGTCCAGACTCTTAAAAACATCGACAAGAAAAAATACTCTTGATTCAATCGGATTTTTGCTTAAACCGAGAGCCAAGCCTCTTAGTTTAAGTGGATTTCCTTTTGATTCAAGCACAGATCCGATTGAATCAAGAATATTTTTTCTTGTCATTGTTTTCAAGAGTCTGGACTCTAGATCCAAGCGACTTTTTTCCAGTGTTCCTCCTTGCTAAATGCGATCCAATTAGTAATTATCTTTCCTGAATACCGCATCTAAATGTGTAAGATCTAAGGGAAGGAAACTGAGATGAAATCTGCGTTCTCCGTCGATCTTTCTTTTTAAACTCGACAGTTTTGAAAATATAGTCATGGTTAGTATGTTAAGTAATGAATTGCCTTTTTAATGACATGTAAGGCAGCACCTTGAATGTGCGAGCTTATTTTTGTTTAAAAAATAATAGGTACGAGTGACGTAATAATACTAGTTCTTACCTGACTAAAATAATTGTCCCTAATTTTGTAACTCTGTTTTTAAAAACGCATTTAACGGAATGCAAGTTTCATGTCCCGGTGTTCTTTTTTTCTTTTTTGTAAAAATTAAAAACGGAAGAAGGGATTAATGCTAGTACATTGAATACGTATTTTGTCGCACTCGAGTGAAATTTGTGTCGGAAATAAAATAGTTCAATAATAAGAATTTGTAAAAACACAGGTTTTGTAGGTACTCAGGTGCTGTACCTAACGGTGCGCATTTTGACGATTTTCTATTCTATCTGTAAAAGATTATGACGGTCCCCTGTTCCCGCTTAGTAATGTATTAGGAAATTATTACCAGTTTCGTCCTCTTTTCTGATGCTTTGTCGCAAACTCCCTGAAGCCTAATACAGGAACGATTTAGAAGCTGCCTTTTCGAGGTTACATAGACTCTGCAGTTCTAGCATTCCTCGATTTATTTTTAAAGTTGGTTCCTCAACTTTTTCGCGCCCCTACAAATTGAAAAAAAAGTTTCGATCTAAAAAGGCGTTCAGCGTTACAGAAAATGTATAAACTTCCAAAAATATTCCAGATGCTGATGATAAAATCAAAATTCAATACCTCCAACTCATTCAAAGTTGGCACAAAGGACCACCATTAAAGCTCCGTAATTTTAGGTCATAATCGAATTCTCATAAAGCACGTATATGGCCAGTGAAAAAAAAAAAACAATATTCCCTGAATGGGCCTAGCGGGCGCCTAGTTAGGCGACGACAAAGGGTTAAAATAAAAGGGCAGTTTAATCTATCGCATATCAATGAGGAAGTTAAGGGGGAG